TTACAAACATTCTACATCTGAAACTTCTACACTTCTTAAGTAAAAAGATAAAAAAATAAGGTAGGAACTTTATCATTGCATAGCAAATGTTACAAGATGAATAAAATTTTAGTTATTATTTAAGTATTAAGTTCTAAGTTGTGTTGATAATAAAACTACAGCAACATTGAATAGCTAGAGTTCTCCTATTTCTTAAAATAATTCTTTGTCATTTAGGACTTTTGCATTAAATATTTTGTGCTAATAGAGTTGTTTGCTAATGCATCAATGCACTTGTAGCCAAAAAAATAATGTCACTAGGAGAGCAGAGGTACTAAATGTACCAAGGAGAGCAGAAAATTGTGATGAGCACTGATGATTAGTAAAAGATGTATTAATAATATATAGTTCCAGAGGTTATTGATATACCACGTAAAGACACCCTATGAATATAGGAACAGAAAGAAAAGTACATCTTGAAAATGTCTTTGTAGCCACAAATACTTTATGGAGTAAAACAGGGCAACAAACAGCAAACACACTAAATTGGAATATAGTGGAGTTTATATTTCAAAGAAGAAAGCCATAAACCTAAAGCCTGTTCTTGCCAGTCCTGTCTCTACTATAGAAGTTCAAACTGGAATTCATGAGTAGGTTTCTAGAGACCTGAAATTACACGTAAAGACTTGTGTCTCATTTTGAGGACATGATCCATACCTTTCATTAGATTCTTAATGAGTTCTCCAACTTCCCCAATGAGAATCGTAAGAATCATACAAATCCACGTAGGTACTGAGGCTTCTGAATACAGTATAAGTCATTTGATCCATCAACAATGGCAGCACCTGCGTACTCCTGAGATTGTAAGAAGTGTCTCGGGGACTATCCGTCTGGTTAGCAAAGGAAACTTTCTGTTCTAAACTATAAAAGTTTAGATAAGTCTCCCAAGTGCAGGTGAGTGCTGCCACCCAAAGACTAAATGGAGATGATGTGCTGGGAGTTTCCTTGTCCTCTAGCATCTTTAAACACATTGGGAGTGAGACAAATGAGTCCCCTAAGGTAACTCCCACTGAGATGTCAGTTGTAATCCTAAGAGAAGAAAAGACTGTATTAATGATCTAAGACCACTTCCATAGACTTCTGTCATGGGAAGAAGGGCTAACTTGATTCCTAAGCTGCCTTCATGCCAATTAACTACCCAATTTATATCTAGATGTTTGAATGGATAAGCCCATTCCAAACCAACAGCACTAGTCCTGAAAGCTAGTCTTGGGTTCAGAGTCTGCATAAACTGCTACAGTCTTAAGGCCTAAAAGAGGGACAGAAGGAATTAGTATTAGGTTCCCAGAAACAACTCGTAGACATTCTGGTAAATATAGCCACCATTCTTCCTAAATCCTTCCCCAAGCCCACATTCAACAGTCTGCTGTGGAGTCTGCAGACCTGGCAACTGGTGCCCTCGATCCCACCAGGGTGATTCTGCACTCTGGTGGGAACACCGCCCATCCAGCTGTTCAGTTTCACCTACTCGTCGTTTCTAGCTTCCCACCAGAACTGGAATGCGATGGTTTAAATTTTTTCCTTTGCAAAAACTCATGTAGAAATTAGATTATTGTTGTAACAGTATTGGGAGGTGGGACGTTTGAGAGGTGATTAGACCATGAGGGCTCTGCCCTCATGAATGGATTAATGCTGCTACTTTAGGAGTGGATTTGTTATAAAAGAGCTAGTTCAGCCTCTTCTCTCCTCTCTCTCTCTGTCTCTCTCTCTCCCCCCACCATCTTCATCTTCCACCATGTGATGACACAGCAAGGCACTCACCAGATGCCAGCACCTTGATACTGGACTTTCCAGCCTCCAGTACTGTGAGCCAATAAATTTCTGTTCATTATGAATTACTAAGCTTGGGGTATTCTGTTTCAACAGCACAAAACAGACTACGACACCACTCTTGCCATATTTGTGGACCTCAACTCCCTCCTCACCACCATATTTCCAGGATACTAGGTCTCAATGTCACATCATCATGATCACATATTGTTACAGTATGAAGCTGATTATTTCATTATGTAACTGTCTTACTCCAGTGGGCAAGTCCAGTTTCCTGAGGTGTCCCGATCTCTCAGTCTGGCTAGTTCTTTTTCCTCCAAGTTCTCTTCTGACCCTCTAGGCTTGAAGGGTTTGGTGACACAACATTCATGCATTCTACACAGAAACAGACCTTGGATCAATATGATTTTCTGGGTGCCTCAGACCCCCTCTGGGCCTAGTGGGCACTGTTCTTTGCACAATTTCAGTCTGTGGTCACTTGTAATGAGGCAGGAATCTACCTAGAGAACACATTGCAGGATTGTAGTTAATGTATCAGACTTCCTGGTGGTCTGCCGTCTGGTGAGCTGTTAAAAGTCTAGGTCTTAGTGCCTAGATTAAGGGGCACCAACAGCACCCTGGGAGTTGACAAGTATGATCATTATTCATCTGTCCCCCTTCCCCAAAAGGCATGGAACAACATGTACCGGTCATCCTCATTACTGAATGGCTACCTTGATGTGGACCACCTAGTTATTTGTAGTAATAGCTAGCACTTATTGAGTATCTACTCTCTGCTAAATGCTTTACATGCATTCACTCATACAATCCTCACAGCAGCCCCAAGTAGGTACTACTCTTATTCCTATTTTATAGATGAGAACTCCCGGGCTTAGAGGTGTAAGGAATTGCCTGAAGACCGCACACCTAGCAAGTGACATCAAAATTCTTCAGCACTTCACAAACCACACAAACCATTCCTGTTGCATATTTTTCATTTGCACTGCCTCCCTGCTTCATTTGCACTGCAGCTCTTTCCCTAAAGGAAACCCTCTTAGTTACAGCTTGCTGAGCCGCTGCTCTTGCTACTCTTGCTCTCTTCCAGCTCTCCTTAGGCTACCACTACCCAGATTAATGAAGGCCAACCCAACACTCCAGCAGAACGTCAGATGTTTCCTTGTACACACAGAGATGCGGTCGTCTCCTTTAGCATGTGAGGAATTTGCCTAGGCCACACCTCCTAATCCAGCAATTTCACAAGACTCCTTGTATTAAAAAATTATAGTTACACCCTTACCATTTCATTGCCATGTCTCCATCCTTATCACTTGGGTAAATTTGACCCAGAATCTCCAGAAAGCTGAAGAAGCTTAGCAGGGCCAAGCTGACTCCTACTTTGGAAAAAGGGCTCTATGGGAGACCACCTGGTTGTCCTTTATAAAACAGAAAGCTATAATAATTTTTTCTTTATATTTTTACAAAAGATTGAGGTTTGTCTAATATAGACTCATAGACATCAAGGTTAATTAGCTATATTTATTGAAGCCCTCCCCTGTACTCAGTGCTATAAGCTCTCCTCCTACTCTCACATGTTTGACCTAAGCTTGTATGGGGGTAATCTGGTTCAGTTTGCTTCAATTAATAATAAAATATTAATAGTAATTAACATAATTTATTACTATTAATTAATATAATGTAATTAATATACTAGGGGTATAGTAAAATACTATTAATAAATTAATATAATTATAATATTAATGATATACTTAGTAATTATAAAATAAAATATAATATTTTTGTAATAATAGTGATATGATTGTATTAATTAATAATATAAATAATTATTTTTATAAAATAAAATAGTGATTATATTATTACAACTAATATTATAATTAATAATAATTACTTTATATTGTTATATACCTAACATATCAACTCATAATGGGGTATTTTATTATTCCCATTTCACAGATGGAGAAACAGAAGCATGGAAAGATTACATGGGTAGTAAGTATTGGAGCTAGGGTTGTGGATCAGACAATTTGGTTTTGGAGCCTATGATTGTAAATACTTATGTGACCTGCTTCACCATCTAAAACATTTGTAAGGATTTCAGACCGGAAGACTATCTTGAACTAACTACGTAGCAAAACTGTACCCCTACCAATAAAAAAGAGTAGCTCACTAAGCTTTCTATCTTTTCATAGAAGGACAAGTTTAGTCTTTCCCTCTTTCTGTGAACAGGACGTACATTTGCCCAAGGTTCTATGTCCTGCTGACTGTTCTAACAACTTCTCTACCATAGAATCAAGGACTGACAACACTGTCCCCAAATGCCATCCCTGCTAAGTCCCTTGTTCCTCTGTCTTTTGTCTTTTTTTTTTTTTTTTTCAGATGGGGGCTTGCTCTATTGCCCACGCTGGAGTGCAGTGGCATTATCATAGCTTACTGTAGCCTCTATCTCCCAGGCTCAAGCAATCCTCCTGGCACAGCCTCCCAAGTAGCTGAGACTACAGGCAGTCACCACCATACCTGGCTATTTTTTTTAAATTTTTGGTAGATGAAGTCTCATTAGGTTACTCAGGCTGGTAATTCTTGGCTTCGAGCAATCCTCCCACCTCTGTCTCCCAAGTATTGGGGTTACAAGTGTGAGCCTCCTCACCTGGCCTCCTCTCAGTCTTTGACACTTCTGAACCTGGAGGTTAGGTTGCATACTTTGATCTCACTCTACCCATCTATCCATCCTTGCTTTAATATAGCTTCCTGGGCCTCAGCTGGTTTAAAGAGATTCATCCCATTTCCTTGAGCTTTCTTCTTTGATCAACACTTGCATTCTCCATCCTTAACTGGTTTCTTACTTCTAACTTGCCCTATGGCTAACCATACCCAGATTTGCCAATACACTGAGAGAAGATGGCCTTTTACATTCCTTTTCATTTTGATTACGAGTTTATTGACAGCGCTTTCCCTCATAGATATATAATACGTGTATTTTTCTTTTTTTTTTTTGAATGTTTTGTAAAAAATATTTTATTATTAGCCCACCGATCAATTTGGAAAGATGAAATTTGCTTTTATTCCCATCACTGATTTTGAAGTCCCGAGCCAAAGCCGAGCGATAAAAGCAGGTTAAGTGATGAACCGGTTAACCGTACTGCTACTGCGAGGAGCAGCTGAGGGCAGAGGGCGGGGCCGGGTCATTCTTTTTTTCCCCACACTCTCACTCTCTCTTCTCTCCACGATTATTGACCGCCCCGGGGGCCTGATCACAAACCCTGCTTGGCCAGGGAGGCAGACACCTCGTCGGCTAGCGTGGCGAGCTGGGGCGAGTCTACCATGTCGATGCTGCCGGTGGAGGAGACATTGCTGAGGTGCCATGGAGACGTGTCCCCAGACACCACCGGCGACTTGTTCACGATTTCCACCCCGTGGTCTGTCTTGGCTTTGGCGTTCTCGCGGAAGGTCAGCTTGTGGGTTTCAATCTTTTTATTTTCTCCGCCAGGGACATGAGTGATATTGTCCAGGGACCCGATCTTCGACTGGACTCTGTCCTTGAAGTCCAGCTTCTCAGATTTTACTTCCACCTGGCCACCTCCTGGTTTATGATGGATGTTGCCTAATGAGCCACACTTGGAGGTCACCTTGCTCAGGTCAACTGATTTGTAGACTATTTGCACCTTCCCGCCTCCCGGCTGATGCTTCAGGTTCTCAGTGGAGCCTATCTTGGACTTGACGTTCTTCAGGTCTGGCATGGGCACGGGGGCGGTCTGCAGGCGGCTGTTGGTGGAAGACGGCGATTTGGGTGGAGTACGGACCACCGCCACCTTCTTGGGCTCCCGGGCTGGAGGGGTTGGAAGGGATGGGATGCGGGAGCGGCTGCCAGGAGTGCCCGGGGAGCCGGGGCTGCTGTAGCCGCTGCGATCCCCTGATTTTGGAGGTTCACCAGAACTGGATGGTGTCTTTGGGGCGGGCGGGGTTTTTGCTGGAATCCTGGTGGCGTTGGCCTGGCCTTTCTGGCCTGGAGGGGCCGCTCCCCTGGGTGTGGTGATCTTCGTTTTACTATCAGCCCCCTTGGCTTTTTTGTCATCGCTTCCAGTTCCGTCTTTGCTTTTACTGATATAGTGAGCTTCGGTCACGTGACCAGCAGCTTCCTCTTTCAGGCTGGGGGTGTCTCCAATGCCTGCTTCTTCAGCTTTCAGGCAAGCGTCCGTGTCACCCTCTTGGTCTTGGAGCATGGTGTAGCCCTCTTCATCTTTCCTGTCCCCCAACCCGTACGTCCCAGCGTGATCTTCCATCACATCGAACTCCTGGCGGGGCTCAGCCATCCTGGTTCAAGGCTCGCCTGATAGTCGACAGAGGCGAGGATGGGAGAGGACAGCGGAGGAGGAGAAGGTGGCTGTGGTGGCGGTTGCAGAAGGTGGGCAGTGGCAGCGGCGCTGCTGTTGGTGCCAGAGCTGGTGGGTGGCCATAAATGTATTTTTCTAAATGACCTTCATAGGGATAGGGAAATAACTTGATAAAATGTGTAATGTAGCTGATCCTTTGTTTTTTAAAAATTTTAATGTTGCTTCAAGGTGGTAAGAAAGAATATCAGAGCAAGAAGAGAAATGATTGGTAACAGGTAAGAGGGGAACTCCACTTAAGATGATTTGTTAAGTAAATTATCTAAAATATATGACTCAGCACATTCATTGTATTTAGACCCAAATTTTGATAGTATAAAAGTACAAAGTTATGGAGATAATGGTGAATGATAACCAGTTATTTCATTAACATATATTAGGCCAGGCATGGTGACTCATACCTATAACACCACGACTTGTGTCAAAAAACTATTTAGAAATATTATTTAGCAAATAGATATGTTGATGTTGTTAGGAACTAGGATTTTCAGTGAGAGAGAAAAATGCATTATAAAGTCAGAGGATCTCTTGAGCCTAGGAGTTCAAGGCTGCAGTGAGCCTTGATAGCATCACAGAACTCCAGTCTCTGTGACAAAGCGAGATCCTGTCATACACACAAAAAAATTTATATATATATGTGATATTAACATAGTGTATAATTGGATAGATATTTCAGAAAGAAATGATCTCATTTTTCACATTATAATTTATTAGATTAATATTTGAGAGTTGAATCGATCCTGATTTTGATGCATAAGCATTGATTCTTGGATCAGAATCACATATTACATTTTGTGAATTTAAAAAATTGGTCTAAAAGTTATTAATGTTGTAGAATACATTTACTTAAAGCAAAGCATAATAATCTCATTTTGCTCTCAACTTTCAAGATGAATAGAAAGTTCCGCATTAATAAAAAAAAATGTGAAATAGAAAACAGTTGACATGACTTATAGTCCTCCTAAAATAGAACTTTTAATTGATGTTACTCCTCTCTAGGCTTAACTCTGAACTTGTGGTTTGTTTTTTGTTTGTTTGTTTGTTTGTTTGTTTTTTGAGACTGAGTCTTGCTCTGTCACCCAGGCTGGAGTGCAATGGCACGATCTCAGCTCACTGAAACCTCCACCTCCTCGGTTCAAGCAGTTCTCCTGCCTCAGCCTCCGGTATAGCTGGGGTTACAGGCACTTGCCACCATACCTGGCTAATTTTTGTATATTTAGCAGAGATAGAGTTTCACCATGTTGGCAGGGCTAGTCTTGAACTCCTGACCTAAGGTGATCTGCCTGCCTCGGCCTCCCAAAGTTCTGGGATTACAGGTGTGAGCTACCATGCCAGGCCTGTTTTTTAATAAATATGGGGGAAGGCACATAATTATTGGGGGGACAAGTAGTAACACAATAATAGCCAAGAAGAAAATGTTCTTGTGCAAATTTTCAGATAGTTCTGCCTGTGCCTACAGGCTTTTTATTGACAATTGATTGGGATAAGTGACACTGTGGAGCAGGTGAAGATTGCCTTCCAGTTTTCCCAGCCTCTTATTTCTGTACTATTACCTCTGTGCTATAGTCTTCTTCGTGAACACATCAAGATGAAAGTAAGCCAGCCACACTGTTTAATTTCCGATAAGACAAAGGCTGGGTCATTTAGCACTTGGTTCTCTTGCCAGGTCAGGAGCAACAAAGAGACTCTGGTACAGATGATGAAGCTAACATGTGGAGCCAGTGATACCAGCAATACTAGGGGTATTGATCCAGTAATACAGATACAAGCATGCCTGAAGAAAATAGCAAAAAAATAAACCCCTTTGCCACTGGAAATAGAGCGTGATCAGTGATAGGATGGATCATGTCAGAACATGGAAATTAGAAATACAAGCCATATCCAATAGAACAGTAATAATCCAGTAAACAAATAGTGTAGATCAGGTACATTGTCAGTATCAGATGTCTCTAGGGAGATAACAGGTGGAAGTACTGGCAACGGAAGGAATCTACTGACTGGCAGCAAATAGACACACAGGCAGTCAGGAGGTATGAGGAGCCCTGCTATGTTGTATCAGCCAGAGTTCCAGCAAGAAATACATGGTCCACTAAAATTTGGATGATTTGGAAAGGCTTTAACTAAGGGACTATTTAAGAAAGTGTGGTCTGGGTGTAGGGAAACCATGAGGGATCATGCTGTACCTCAGGGCTAGTCATAGTGGAAATGTTACCAGCCTGGACCAAAGGGAGAGGAAAGGCATGGTTATTGCAACCTGAAAGGAGAGGGGCACATGAAATCTGAAGTGACCCCACAGGGTGGGAGCCAGGAGGATAAATTCTCCTGACTCACTGTCCTCCCTCCCTCTGATCTCATGCCTGGACACTCATTGGCTGAACTCAGCAGGAAAGAGAGTGAGGGAGCCCAAACAGGTCGAACTCCAGAGTCAGAGAGTGACATAGAGACAGCCAAGGAAAGGATCTGGAGGGCCAAAGAAAGGATCTCCTTCTCTAGCATTTAACGAGGACTATAGCCTAATAAACACTAATGAGCAAGCCAAGACTCCAGTCTCTGTGGGAATGGTACTACAGGGCAGAAACTTAGGCAAGGAGGGCCCTGTAAGGGACTACTTGAAGTGAAAAAAGCAAAAATCTCATTGGAATTGACAACCTGTTACAAAGCTGACTTGATGATTAGTTTCTAAGTTCTGGCTTGAGCCCTTCTTCTCCTGCTTATGGGTTACCAACTAGGAGTGGTTTCCAGGTTCCACTGGGGACCTCAGCTCCCTCATCTGGAAAGTGTGGATAATACTTGTTGCTACCCCAGAGGGTGTCTGTGAGGATTAAATGAGTTAGTACAGGTTAAATGCATAAAATAGCACCTTATACATACTGAATACTCAGTAAATGTTAGCTATGTTTTTATTCTTATTAAGTGAAAGAGGCAGGATTGGAGAGATCCGAGGATGTCATATAGGGCAGTATAGGGAACTAAATTAATTTCTTTTCTAGATAAGGTTACACATATGAAAACACATTGTATCACTGCTTATTCATTCAATTAGCTTCAGTACAAGTACATCCACAAACTCCAGAAAGATAAGAATGTTTTTCTTTCCTTTCCCATCATGGAAAATATAAAATGATTCAGGTCTGTAGCCCCTCAAGCATAATGTTTCTTTTCTATTCTTTCTTTTTTTTTTTTTTTTTTTTTTTTAAACAGGGTCTCACTCTGTCACCCAGGCTGGAGTGCAGCAGAAGGAACAAAGCTCACTGCAGCCTCAAACTCTTGGGCTCTCGTGATCCTCCCACCTCAGCCTCCCCAGTAGCTGGGACTATAGGTGTGGCCCACCATGCCTGGCTAATTTTTTTTTTTATTTTTGTAGAAATGGACTCTCACCATGTTGCTCAGGCTGATCTTAAATTCCTGGGCTCAAGCAATCCTCCCATCTTAGCCTCCCAAAACACTGGGATTACAGGTGTGAGCCACTGCACTTGGCCCAAATGTAATGTTACTTACGCTCCTGCATAATCTCTAATCCAGTCCAAGTTATGCCGTAATAGTTTGGCAGCATCGTCGAACCATCCCAAAGCATATTAACCGTCTTTTTACTCATGATATTGCCAGAACAACTTGGAAATTGAAAATATTTATGTTATTTGAAAATGAGGGAAATGGCCGGGCCTGTAATCCCAGCACTTTGGGAGGCCGAAGTGGGCGGATCACAAGGTCAGGAGCTTGAGACCATCCTGGCTAACACGGTGAAACCCCGTCTCTACTAAAAATACAAAAAATTAGCCAGGCGTGGTGGCGGGTGCCTGTAGTCCCAGCTACTTGGGAGGCTGAGGCAGGAGAATTACTCGAACCCAGGAGGCAGAAGTTGTGTGAGCCGGGATCGTGCCACTGCACTCCAGCCTGAGCGACAGAATGAGACTCCATCTCAAAAAAACAAAACAAAACAAAACAAAACAAAACAAAAAACCAAGGAAAAAAAAACCAAAAATGAAGGAAGTAAAAACAGATAGTAAGTTGAAATGCTGCCTAATGGACATTAGTAAAACCCAGTAGTTTTCCCTGTAGAAATCAGAACGCTTTGGTGAGAAAGCCATTTATGCATTTGTTTTGTTCAGCAGAGTGCTGTCTCAGGGTTGGAGTGCTCAGAATGCACCCAATAATTTATAGCCATTTCAATCTTGATTTGTCTTCCTCTAGAATATATATAACTAAAAATACATAATATAGACATCTCCTTCCTCCATGCCCCATCTTGCTAAGCAGCTGGACTGAAACTAGTAGTCCATTTTATAGAAATCATTAAGCCAGTCACTGGCTATTTAGAATTATGTTGGCACTAGTTTCCTGCCATTTTTAATTCATTTAGCAGGGAGTCTTCAGTTCATATTCTGACCTGAGTACTACAAGGGTTCTTTTATGTCTATACCTTTCAAAACTGATGTATGTATACAGCAATCCAAAACTTTTGAAACCTATGAAAGGGTACTTAGGTTTTATTGTAGTGCTGTACTTGCCTTTCAAAATTTTTAATGGAATCCCTAATGGAGGACTTATATTTAAATACAAAGGCAGATGAGACACCTGTATTATATTTTGATATTAATTTAGTTTCCTTAGGTTTGGTGACTTTTTTTTTTAGAATTTCAGAGGTGGCTTTTGAATTCCTGCATTAGGTATGTCATTGATTTGTTAAAATTAAACATAAATGCATTGAGAATTTATGTTTTGATTTGCTTCCATTAATTACAAAAATTCCCCTTTTGCTAGATTTCAATGCTGAGATACTGTGTTTTTCATAATTTGGATGTTGCTTAGGACATTGTTTTTCGAACTATGGATTTTAATCCATTAATGGGTTATGAAATCAGTTTAATGTGCTATGACCAGCCCCTTTTTTAAATGAAATAAAATAGAGCAGACAGAATAGAAACTGAGAGAGTGCATTGCATGTAGTAAGGGAAATATGTTTCTTAAAATTTTGTTTTAGTTGTGTGTGTGTGTGTGTGTTTTCTAGATCAAAATGTAGTTTTTACTATAACAG